GGAATTCCTCGGGATTTGCAAAACTTTGATCATTTGAGAGAAAGAGAGGCGTACTAAGCCCTTAATGAATGAAATCATGCTTATTAGCGTGAGTACTTAGAAGGATCCTGGCTTGATCCAGATTGGTTCTACACTATCTTCAGCGCGAGCGATTTGTCGCTTTCTTAAAAATTTTCAAAAACAAAATGTTTTGTGCGTTCCTGCGAAGACTAGTGTGGAATCGCTCTTGAGATTGTGCAGCTTAGGATCGCTCTCAGCCTCGAGACTTGAGTTCTTGCTTTCAAACCTTGGGCCCATTCAGAACGTTCAACGGTCAACCACAACGTGAGGCCAACTGCGACGGTGGAAACTAGAGTTCGAATGGCTGAGGCCTAGAACGTAAAGGTTCGGGATTTCCGAGACCAAAGTCTGGTTTAAATACCCAGAGCAGCCATTCTCCTGGATTCAGATAATTTCAGGATCTCAAAACCATTTGGCATGGACTCGTTATGCTTTTACCCTTTGAGAGGCTCGCTGGGCCGAAAACCCGGAAGGGCGACCCAGGCAAAAGTTAGAGCAAGAGAAAAATACGAAAGAAAAGAAAGCAACAAAAAAACGTAAAAGAAAAAAAAGGAAAACAAAAAGAAGAAAAATGAAAGAAAGATGCAAAGAAAAGAGAACAAAAAATCAGAAAAGAAAAGAAATGAAAAGAATTGAAAAGAAAAGAAAAACAAAGCTCGCAAGGTCGAAAACCCGCAACGGGCACCTTGGCAAAAGTTAGAGCCTAAAAAGGAGAGGTTAATACCCGAGTGTACCTTAACCCCGAACTACGTGAGGCTTGATTCCCATCTTTGGGATACGTAGGCAACTTCATTCTAAAGTCCAGCCGTAAAACACTTCCAAATCGACTATGTCCATGCGATGGTTCTAATCATCTTTGCCTTCTTTGTATCCGAGAGACGGATTGTGTTCGTCACTCTGAGGACTGCCTACAATGCGCTGCGGTGCCATCCAAACAAGGGGCAACTTTCCGTTGCCATTCAATGCGCCGCGGTGCCGTTCAAACAAGGGGAAACTTTCCATTGCCATGCAGCTCTCTTCGAGCAAAGGGGCAATCTTCCTTCGAATCCGAAGTTGTGCATCTCGAGAGTAGGTTCCGTGCTCGTTGAGCAGTGATCGTTTGCAAAAATAGTTTTTGAGAATTTTTACTTGGGTTGACTAAATCTTCTCGAAAAGTATCCCATTTTCAAAACTGGACCACTTCTTGGACCCAAAAAAAGGAAAACTCTCAGTGCTCATAGCCTAACTTGCATGATTTTAAATCAGAAAATTGAACAAGCATGTTAATCTAACACTCATTTTGGTCAAAATTTTTTAGGAGAAAACTAAAACAAAAATGGTCGAAATGATGAACTAGGGGCACAGTTGAGTCAGGCTTCCTGTCTTTCCCATTGTCAACATACTTGCCAAGAAGGGCACTCTATCTGCCAGAAAAGGGCACAACAAAGGGCAGAAAGCTCTCACATCCTCCAAGCAACGAGGTATCGAGCAAAGTGCGAAGCACGAACTAGAATGGGACAAGATATTCCACTCCATCATCTGGATAGATCTTATCACGTCCAAGCTCCCCAACAAAGCATCATCAACTGATGTTAGCTGCGGATTTGCCACACACCCAGTTGTAGCGCAACCCTTCTATGGGAGGAATTCACTAGTTGTGAGCAGAAGAAAGAGAATCTAGCAGAATGCTAGGGGCACGAGCCCACAGTTTGCTGTTCGTCCATCAACCACCCAGGGGAGGGATGAAAAATGAGAGAATGAAGAATAGAGAGATGTGCGATGAGAGGAAAAGTGAGAAGAGGGCTTTTTCAGAAAAACAGAGCTTGAGGGCCGAGTAACGTGAGAACCACAAACGAAAGAGGGTGGGAAACACTACCCGGTGAAACAGGCTCCCCGTGCACGTCTGAGTGTCGTGTCTTTTTGTTTTTATCTCGATTCTTGTTTTGAGTCGTTTCGAGTGTTACTCGATGTGTCTAGGTTGTGTGCCTTTTATTTCCTTGTTGGGTCTTTTTCGCTATGTTCAGTCGTAGGCCCGATACCCGGTCAAAAGCTCATTTACCAATTCCAAAATAAAATCGTTTTGCGCTCCGAGTGCTGTACCGTTCTCCACATCTGTGCAAAACAAGATTCATTCTTTCAATAAAACCGCAGGGTTCAACCCAGGTCATTGTCAGAGCAGCAAGACAAGGACTATCTGAAGCATATAAGTTCCGGACTACAAAGCAAAAGAAAGTAAGGAAAAATTTTGAGCATCTGAGTGTGTTTTCACCTTTAGAAAATTCTGAGATTGCATTCCATATGTACCTCTTCAGGCCTTGTCAGTGCTCTGAAATGAGTGTGCCTCTACTCCATTTAAGCATGCTTCAAGTCAGAATGGCCATTAAAGCAGCAGCAGCGATGTTTACCCTCTCACCAACATGAACAGGGTGTGCCCTTTTGAGCTGAATGTGTTGCAAAGTCCTCTAAGAGGTAAATCAAGAAGGCACCAGAGTACATATTTTGATGCTCCTCTACTGCATAGAATGTGCGCTTTCCAATAACACTCTGTGGCAATGCGTGACCGACATCGTTACGATTCTGCATAGAATATCTTGCTTTCGATTCTGCATGAATATGCTTTGCTTGTTTCATGCATATGAATATGTTTGCTTTCAATATTGCTAGAATTGCTTCCTACTTGCATAGAAAATGCTGTATTTTCCTGCGTGGAAAATGCCCCCCATACTGTACATAGGATATGATGCATTTATCGCACTTTCTAGTGCATATCAATCGCGCTGTTTAGCGTATCGCACCTGTCTTGTGCATTTCAAATCAATCCGCCTGTTTAGCGTATCGCAACTTTGTTAGTGCATTAGCCTGTAATCACAGCATCGTCTATGGCATGTATCATCATATCCGTGTCTGGATCGCACTGTCTAGTGATCATGTTCATATCATCGCGCTGTGTAATCACGCATCGCTTACTGTTTGTGCATTTCAATCAGCGGCTGTTTAGTATCGCACCTGTTTAGTGCATTTGATGGGATCGGCTGTAGCGTTGCACTTCTAGTTATTTTCAAATCAATCGCTGTGTGTTTAACGCGGCTATCGTCACTACTGTTCTTAGTGATTTATCAATCGGATCTGTTTGCTGGATGCACTGTCTAGTGCATTTCTATGCTGTTAGCGACGATTCGGCATTTCACACTCGCGCTTTCTTGCCGCATCTGCACTATTTGTTGCACCTTACTTTGCATTTTGCATGTCATTTCCATCGCGCTAATCTTGCCGCATCTCCTTGTAATTGTAGTGCATTGTATCGCGCTAACCTTGCCGCACCTTATTTGTATCGCACTGTTTTGTGCATTCCACGCTTGCTCGTACTGTATTGTAACACCTTTAGCATCGCACCTATTTTGGTGCATCTGTTTTAGCACTGTTTTTGGTGCATTACTCTGCATCGCACTGTCTTGTGCCTCTGGTCTATGGAGACCTTAAATCTCTAAAGGTTAAATTCTTTGGTGTTTGTCGTGCCCGAACGACTTCCGGTGTCCGGTATAGCAACCTGCTGTGTTGCAGTAGGTTCCTAGGAGACAACTGCGACGGTGGAAACTAGAGTTCGAATGGCTCATGCCTAGAACACAAGTTCGGGATTTCCATGACTAAAGTCTGGTTTAAATACCCAGAGGCGTGTCCTCGGCTTGCATCTGTATGGAAGCCCAATAGGTGAGATAGCGTGTATGCACTCAATTTGGATACTGAAGCCAACCTAGTCTGTCACCCCGTTGGAGAATAGGGAAAGCCTGCGACCATGGTCAGGGAGAAAATTTGTACCTGCAGTTCAACCAAAAAGAGCGGAAGATCCCAGCAGCATGAAGGTAAGTCATTGCCAATTGCCTGGTAAGGTACCTTACTCTTAGCTATTACATTGCATTTTACGCCACTCGTTACAGTGCATTGCATGACTCCCCAACTTTCAAACGGCTTCGAAGTAGCGTATAAGTCCAACTTTCAAAATCGGACTTTGCGTAAGCGTATATCCAACTTTCAAAAACCGGCTTCGCGTACGTTATAAGTCCAAATTTCAAAATCTTCTTGCATTATCATTTGCATTTTGCCCCCTGCTGTGGTGCATGCCTGCGGGCACATCTCTGTTTTTATCTTGTACGTTTGTCTAAGTCTTCGCCTTGTCAAAAATGGGTCCGTCTTGGGCTTTACATTCACTCCGTCACTTTGACTTCCGAGTTCTGTCAAAGAGGGGCAACTGTAGACACCCCATTTTTGACCGACCTTAGACTCAGACGTCAACTGATTGAGCGTGTGGTGATGTTGTATAATGTGCTGTTCAGAAGTTTCAGAGTTGCGGCCGTGATGCCGATTTGGGGACCGGTAACGATGAGGATGGTACA